TGGATTTGGTACCCCTCCCCCCATTATTCTACCAATATACCATTGCTTTTCAAAATATAAGGAAGGATCTTTGGGGGCAAGACCTTGAAGATAAGTGCTTTGCTGTCAGGAGATTTTCGTCATAGGAAGATATTTCCTTTACTGTGCTTATTTCACGTATACACAGCAGCTTTCTTTCTTTCTTTCTTTTGGCAGACAACATCCCTCCCCAGCTTTATTTTTTACATAGTTACAATTTTACATATTTATGTACTAATTAACATTTTCTATCTTTACAACTACAAAATGATTTCACACTGGGAGAGTGTGGGAACATTGAATTCATTTCAACATAGACTCTGTAGCATCTATCTGTTTTATCCTCTAAACGGAAGAATTTGCCCCAAACCAACAACAGTGTCCACCACAGAGGAAGCCCATGGGAAAATCAGGGAGGACAGAAAAGATGGAAACATAATTCACCCACTTCTCTATTACATTTCCCCGAATCCTCTTTGACTCCTAGTCCCGTCTAACTTAATGTCTCATTGGCCAAACAGTATTTTATTTAACAATCAATAAAATAAATATACACAGAACATTCCCCATCACGCTTCCCCTGCTAGGAAAAAATAAAACAATTCCTAAAACTGTACCTTAAAAATACTTTGACGTTTTAAGCAGTTAATTCGTATCCCAGACCTGAACAGTGGAACACAGAAGCTCCCTGAAATCAGCCCCAAGTAAATATGGCCATGAGCAGACATCATCCTGCGTATACCTGAGGCTGCAAGGGGTGGGCGGGGGGTGTCATTCTCTACATTTTCAGAGTCAATGGCTGCTAATGGTTGGTTTGGGGGCTTAATCTCAAGTGGGTATTTCTCAGCAGTGTCTTGAACTTCCTTGGCAATTCTGTCCATCCAGTCTATTAAGTCTTTTTCAAGTTTCTTAGCTTCATTCATGATCCTTTCCTGACGTTCATTCAACTGAGACAGGAGGTCCAAGTTCTTTTTTGGTTTTTCAAAACAGGGTTTCTCTGTGTGGCTTTGGAGCCTATCCTGGCACACGCTCTGGAGACCAGGCTGGCCTCGAACTCACAGAGATCCGCCTGCCTCTGCCTCCCGAGTGCTGGGATTAAAGGTGTGAGCCACCAACACCCGTCCAGAGGTCCAAGTTCTTATACATTTGCTTCACACCTAAGCAGGCTTCGGGGGACCAGGTCTCAGACTCCTGCTTCCTTGGGGAAGTCTGGTCGGACATGTATCGGTCAAAATTCTCCTGACTTAAATTCAAAGACTGAGCCTCTAATTTCTCAATGAAAGCCACAGCACAGCACAGGTTGGTGAAATAGTAGCCATCTTTGCCAGTCATAAGCCGGCTGGGTTTGCAGAAGCGAGTGGTGTACTGGATGTTGGACTGCAGCCGAGGTGGGGGTTGCCCTTCAGGAGGATGTAGATGAGGGTGGGCAGGAAGTCATCAGCTGAGGCTGGCTCATTCTTGGTCATCTGATGGCATTGAAGATGTGCTTGCTGCACGTGATGATGCAGGCTAGCTTGTCCCGAGGCACACGCTTGAGTCCATCTCAATGATGTCTGTGATCGCTTTCACCACCATGTCAGACACGTCAGGGATTTCCTCATTGACAGGGACACAGAGCATCTGAGGTGTCACCCAGTGCAAAGCCCTGATCCTCTTTTGAATGGCAAGCTCTTTTTTCTCATTATCAGTAGTCTCTGGGCAGAACACAAATTTATAGAGACGGGTCATAATGTGCTTTTCCATCTAATCCATTATCTGGAGGCACTTTTCCACGAGTCTGCATTCTTTCAGCCACATTCTGGTATAAGTCCTGAGTACATTCTGACTGTTCCTCAATGCTTAAATCCCTTTTGTAATGCATTGCTTCCAAGAACATCTTCATCTGTTTATAGATTTCTTGGCCTGTCTGTGTCTTGAGAAAGTCTATGAACTCTTTAGTTATTCTATCCGTCTCAATGCTGATTTGCCTGTTTATGGAGGGTCTGGGAGCTTTGGCTTCCTGAATGTCTGCCTTCTTGGATCCAACCCTGGAAGAGGCATTGAAGAACTTCTTCACTGTGGTGACCTTGTGGGTCTTCTCATTGGTTTTCTTTTCCTCAAACTTGGAGAAAGTGAGGGACTGGGCTCCTTGGCTGCTCTGACTGCTAGCAAAGGCCTCTTCCTCTTCCCGCTGGCCTTTCTGCTAGCTCCCAGTCAGTCCTCTTGGATCTGCTTCTGGTGGGCCTTGTGGTACTCCTCCCTCTAGCACTTAGAATAGAAACCCTGCCAGGCAGGGGTGCCCGTAGTAACTACATCCTTTCTTGCATAGGAGCTCAGATTGAGCCACATGAATTTCCCAGCGTTCAGACTTCAGGCTCATCTTTCTGGTCCGCCCCTCCTCCGGCATCCGACAGCCGCTCCCAGCGCCACTTCAGTCACTCTGCTCCTCGCCCCACCCCTCCACAGCAGTTTTCTAAGTGCTAGATGAAATAGAATGTTTTAGCTGGTTGGATGGTGAGACAGTGCTGAACTAGGTCTCCACTATTGAGACATTAAAGGAAATCTGTAGAATGTAAAATGGTAGCCCTCCCTCCCTCTTAATTTATGTATTTGCATTGTTGTTTGCCTACACGAGCATCTGTGAAGGGTGTTCTATTCCCTGGAACAGGAGTTTACAGACAATTGTTAACTGCTGTGTGGGTGCTGGGAATTGAGCCCAGGTCCTCTGGAAGAGCAGTCAATGCTCTTAAACCACTGAGCCATCTCTCCAGCCCCTTAAGAATTTCAGTAAAACATTTTTATTAACAGGTTAAGCACAGTCTTTTTATAAAAACAAGTATGTAAGGCTGGATGGTGGTGGGTGCATGACTCCTGAATTCTCTTGGATCTACAGAATTCCAGGACAGCCAAGACTACACAGATAAACCCTGTCTCAAAAAACAAAAGACAAAAACAAGTGTGTAAGAGTTTCGCTAATTCATAACATGGAAAGTTTTGCAAATAAAACCTACAGAAGCAAAAACAGTGGGATCCAGAGAACCACTAGTAAACCACAGAATTAGAATAACCTTCACAGATTTTCATGTCATCCTTGCACAAGGCCATGCTGATTTTCTTATTTGTGTGGTTAAAAGTGAGTTCCCTGGTATATCAGTCCCCTTCAGAAACAGAACATTTGTCTCCCATATTGGCCTTTCAGAGTAAACCCAAAATCTCATTTCCTTCATTTTTAGGCCGGTATCTTTTCTTAAATGCAATTGCAAACCAGCTGCGGTACCCAAACAGCCACACTCACTACTTCAGCTGCACCATGCTGTACCTTTTTGCTGAGGCAAACACTGAGGCAATCCAGGAACAGATCACAAGGTAAGAGATCATTGTCAAGATGCCTTAAAAGGGCACTATGGACTTCCCTTTAAGGTTTTAAGGAGGAGAAACTAGGAGCAAACTGTTTTCTGTTGTTTAATATGCATATGGTACATAGTACAGTGAGGTACACATACCTTAAAGATTTTAATGTATGTTAGGTGTGGTGGCACACCCCTTTAATCCCAGCACTCGGGAGGCAGACAGATCTCTGAGTTCCAGGATAGCCAGTGCTACACAAAGAAACCCTCAATAAAACAAAAAAGATTTAATTTACCTGTTCACCTCAATAAATACTAGTGCCCATTGTTCTCAGATGTTCACAACATCTGAACTGTTGTGTTTAATGCATGCTTGGATGACAAAGTACCATTTTGTTTGTAATTATGTCTAAAGCTGCAACAAAGGCTTCAGTCCTTAATCTTTGCCCCAAGGAAATAAAGAACACAGCATTGCAACTAGCAGGTCACAGTACATGAATGTTTAAGCCAGCACTTGCAGCCACATAGGAAGAATTCCACTCATTTACATATGCTGTAGTATTGTTAAAAAATTCTAAGTGGATTAATGGAGAAAGAGGCAATGGAGGTATAGTTGTGAATTTGTTTCTTTATGTATTGACTAATGCTTCTACCCCTCCTTTTAGGGTTCTCTTGGAACGGTTGATTGTAAATAGGCCGCATCCTTGGGGTCTTCTTATCACCTTCATTGAGCTGATTAAAAACCCAGCATTTAAGTTCTGGAACCATGAGTTTGTACACTGTGCCCCAGAGATTGAAAAGTGAGTTTAAAATGATTTAAGTACCTAGCAGGGAAACAGAAAAGAATGCTTCTAATTTGGGTCTATGAGTTAAAAGGCAGTTATAGCTAATGCACATTAAGATATCCTTAGGCCTAAATTTTGTGAAGTAAATGTGGACTTGTCTTTACTTTCCAGATTATTCCAGTCTGTTGCACAGTGCTGCATGGGACAGAAGCAGGCTCAGCAAGTGATGGAAGGGACCGGTGCCAGTTAGATGAACTGTATATCCCTTGCCAGAGGCATCAGCCTTGGTCCCAGTGGACCAAGTTCATAAACTGAAGAATCCTTTCTGCTCCTCCTGACTTTCCCAGCCCTTTGGTTCTCGGGTGTCTGCCCCATCAACTGGTGGGGTTGGCCTCCTGTCTATGTGGGCAAGTTCCAAAGTTTAAATGCATTTTTTTTTTGACTCTTGGCCAAAATTTAGAAGATGCTGTGAATATCATTTTGAACTTGTGTAAATATATGAAAGAGAAAACTTTTGTCTGAACTTATTGGGTTTGTGCAAAGTGTGTCTAGTACCTTGTAGTGGTGGCACATTCTTGTCTTGAGCATAGCTCATATCTTATGACATTTGTGGCACTCCAAAGAACAGCAAACCAGTCAATTCATCTAACACTTTAAAAATGTAGCCTGAGAACACAGAAAGGCCCACAGTTAAGATCCACGGGGTTTGCTTGCCTTTTCTTTCTTCAAAGCTGGCTGCAGGGGAAGCAGCTGAGCCTGCCTCTTGGTTCTAAGGGAGAACACGACCTAAGGAAACATCTCTCAGGGGCTCCCTATCATCATGCTTAGGTTGTACAGCCTAGTTTTAAATAAGTCAAAAGGACCAATACAGTTTTTTTTTTTTTTTTTTTTTTTTTTTAATAGGGATCTTAAAAGTTCAGAGAATAGCCAGGTCTGTGTTCTGTTTTGTAGCCTTTGTAGTTCCTGGGCCCTAGCTCAGCTTTCTTGTGTGTGTGAAGACAGTAAACATTAAAGTTAGATGAATAGGAGTCCACTGTGCCTTTCTCAGCAGCAGCAGCCCATGATGGTGAGGAAGAAAGTGGATAACTCAAGTCTCCTGGGAAATAATCACTTCTTACTAAATCACCAAAATTTCCTATTATTACTTACACTTTTTTTTTTTTTTTTTTTGAAGTCAGGGTCCTACTATGTAGACTAAATTATCCACCTCCTGTCAGCTTCCGGAAGGCTGGGATTACTGGTATACTACAACCATGCCAAGCAAGGAAATTTTTATATACCTTTGCTGTTTCAACAGGAGGAAGCTGTTGGAGCAAGAAAATCTGTGCAGTTAAACTGAATTAGAAAAACTCTTTAGGTGTTTTTTTTTTTTTAGTATAAATAGGTAGTATTTGAAACAATTCCATTTATAATCTACATTACCAAATGAAACCTGGATGTCCTTCATGTCCTTGAGAAAGTGAGTTGTGACATGGAGAACCAACTTTAGATAGACTACTGATGAGACTGAAGGTGCAGCAAAGCTACCTGTAATGCTTCAGTTCTCTACAGGAAATGGACTTCAAAAAGGTTGAACTTCACAAAGTCCAGCTCGGTCCATATTTATTAAATTCTACTAAAAACCTGAAGACATTAGTAAAAATAGAATGTGCTTAACAATTGGCAGTGATTACCAAATCTCAGTCCTAAAATGTCAACACGTAACTCTTGCCTTGGATTAATCCTAGCTCATCTTTAGCTACTTTTCCTTTGATACTGTCTTATAGCAAAAGACCCAAAGCAACAAAACACAAGCTTAAAAGGTTTTCACTGCTGGTCATTCAGGGAACCTGCTTGTGAGTTCCAACACCTGATGTAAGATCATCTTCTGACCATAGCGGACTTGTAAGGCTTGCTGTTCCCGCCAGCTGAGCTTGGCGTAGACTTCCTTATTGCTAAGTAAATCTTGCTCAGTTTTTAAGTCGGTGGCATAGGTCTGAAGGGTCAGTAGAACACTGTCTCGAAGAAGCCGCTTCCACGATGCTTGGAGCTTGGGGATATTTGCGATTGCCAGACTGACCTCTTCTCTTTCTTCCTCTCCCTGTCCAGCCTGTTCTTTATAGTTTCTGAATTCCTCAGCAGGCATGCACAGTACCTAGAAGGAACATGGAGCCCTTCAGTTAGGAAGCACTACTATCTGTGAGCTTCAGGACAGATACACCACTGTAGGAAAACTGAGTCACCTTTGTCTTTAGTTTGGCTTTATTCTAAATATCAGCAGCCCTGTACCTTGAGTGTGGTGGCTAGCTCCTCTTCAGTCAACACCTCCTCATGACCAATCACAAAGGCTCCTTCTTCCCCTACCATCTCCAGTTTGCATAGGAAATCCCAGCGTTCACACAAGAGCAGCTTTTCAGCTTCATCCTTTGTTCCTGTGAAGTAATGGATGGAGATGAGCAGACATCGACTCCAGCGAGCCAAGTGCTGTCAGCAGAGTAAAATGGAACCTGGATGGGCAGACGCACCCTGCAGTGCAGCATCCCGGACTGTCACCATCTGAATGTCAGCTGTGTCGTCTGTGTTGTCAGGATAGGGCTCAGCAAAACCATACATATGAATCAGTTGCCAATTAGCCATTTGCCCATAGGTGTTGAAAATCTCATGACCTTTGGGAATGGGCTGAGTAGCTACCATCCGGAGATAATCCTGGGATAAAAGTGAAAAATAGGCCACACCTTAGCTCCCACCAGCCTATGAAGATTACTTCCCTTTTAGAAGAGCCTATTAAACTTACAGGCTGAGGCTACATACCACTGTCTGTTAAACTCCGTATTATAGAAGGGTAAAGCCAACTAAGCCCAAAGTCAGCTTAGTGTATCAGGTGCATCTGCGCCTAGTCATCTGCCCTTTAAAAAATGTTAAGATCAGGCCTGGTGATGCACACCCAGAAATCAAAACATAAGTAGGAATAAGTGAAAAGTTTTATCTGCTGACCTCTGGGGACAATGTCTTAAATGTTTATATATGGCTGGAAGTTATGTGGACCTGGAACCTTCAATTCTGCCTCCGCCTCTTGAGATTGCAGGTATAAGCCACCAGGCCCAGATAATTTGCTAATTTTTAGTCACACACGTGTCTTAAAATTTTTCATGCAGAACTGACACTAAACTGGAGTCTTACTATACCTCTGGCCCATGGACACACCACCTCTTGAAAAGTACTTAACCAGTGCTGTTCCATGATGCTGTCCACAGGGACTCACGTGACATGGCAGAGCAAGGCAGTTTTTTTGGTGGCCTTAAGACGTGTCCACACTTTTTTTTTTTTTTTTTTTTTTTTCGAGACAGGGTTTCTCTGTGTAGCTTTGGGGCCTATCCTGGCACTCGCTCTGGAGACCAGGCTGGCCTCGAACTCACCAGAGATCTGCCTGCCTCTGCCTCCCGAGAGCTGGGATTAAAGGTGTGTGCCACCAACTCCACGTGTATCCACACTCTTACTGTCACTTGATACCAAAGTATACAGGAGAGTAGCTAATCTGACCCATTCATTTTAATGTTAAGTAGGAAAATGGAGCACAATGACTTGACTCATTATGCACATAGGGGTTCACTCACTGCAGAGTACTCAAGATTGGCATTGTGATTGGCTATGTGGTTTAGTAAATCTGCAGCAGGCACCATCAAGGGGGAGTTGGGCTCCTTTTCATCATCATCCTCTTCCTCCAGTGGTTCTTGAAAGCTGCCACAGAGAGAATTCAACTAAGGCCCTCTCTTGGGTGAGGGGCCTGGAGTTCAATGTTCTTCCCCCTCAACAATGTTCTAAAGATGAGGGTCTGCTCCTCCAGGCTTTTAACACTGACCTATAAGCCATCACAAGAGCCACGAGCTGACGATAGAGTTCCAGTGAGCGAACAGTGGGGCTGAAGAGATCGGAGTGAGCCTCCATGAAGGGCAGGACGATGGAATGGTATTCGCTAGTGATGTTCACCAAATCCTTCTCCACGGCCTCCGGGACACCTGTACCCTGTAGGAGGCGCCGCCGTTCCTCCTCTGGCCTGCAAGGATAACCCATCCAGGGCCCTTCACAGCCTGCCCCTGAGCAAAGTGGTTGAAACGGGTTCTCCCCAGCCCTTCCCTTGGCTCTCACCAAAACATGGGATGCTCCAAACGCCCGAGCTCTGGCCAGAGCGCGAAGTAGGGGCTCCAGGGTGAGGCTGGGGCCTGCAGCTCGTGGAGCAGCGCCAGCAGCAGCGGCACCCACCCCGACAGGCTCTGCAGCGCGCCTCGCTCTAGGGAAGACACCCGGTGAACGCCCGCCCAGGCGCAATCCGGCAGCCAGCCCCGGAGCCAGCCCTCCGCCCCCCTACCCACCTCGCTCCAGCAGGCCGCTGATGGAGCAGGTGTGGGGAGACAGAAGCGCCGAGCGCGGCACTGCGAACAGCAGCTCCCCCGGCTGCACGCTCTCCCGCGCCACCATGCCGTAGCCGGCCACCGTGCCCTGCCGGCTCACCGCCACCTTGGGACTCAGCTCCAGCCCCACTCCCGCGCACCAGCGCAGGAAGCCGGCTACCGCGTCGCCGTCGGACTGGCCACCGCGGGGCCACGCCGCCAGCGGGGAGAAACAAGTGGCATGGCCGCGCCCGGGAGCCGGGGGCGACAGGGGGGCGCGGGTAACTCTCCGGACCGGGCAGGGCGTGGTGAGGGGCGAGCCGCCACTCACCCGCGCACGCTTGGCCGGAGCCGCCATGCCGGGAGGCGCCGCGTCCTCCCGGCGCTTCCGGCGACGCTGGATGCTAGCGGACGGGGCGGAGCTCGGGTCCAGGCACCCACGCCGCGGCCTCCCGCAGCAAAGCGTCTCTGGCAGGACCTCCAGCGGCTTGACATCTCCTTTGCGCGTCCGCGAGCACACAGGCCAGGTCTGTGCTGCCTCCAGCCTAGTTCTGGGCGAGTACCCGAGAGCGGGGTGCAGGAACAAAATCCGGTTTCTTCCAGGAGTCTTAGCTGCTGCGCGGTAGTGACCGACCACCTGTTAGCGATAACCATCTATTTCACCGACTTTCGTTCGATTAGATAGTTTGCACGTGGGTTTGAAGTGGCCTGAATGTTTTCTACATCTAACAGACACACATATCCACAGTTGCTAATTTACTCGTTTTTCATTTTCTGTATAGAGATGATAGGCTCTTTCATTTTACTTTTCATACATTGGAAGGAGTCAATATCAGGTGAATGAACGTGGATAAGTTGGCAGTGTAATTCTAGTACTTGGGAGGCTGAGACAGAAGTATTACTGGGAGTTCCTGTCCAGCCTAGGCTAGGGTGAAACTGTCTCAAAGCAACAAAAACCAAGCAAAAAAAAGTGGTGTGTCCTTGCTTTGAAGAGGTCTTACTGGCTAAGCTATTTCCTCATCTGTGACACCGAGAACTAGTGTCAGGATCGGTAAATCGTGTCTCAATCAGGGTATATGGCCTCATGGTAGAACCTTGAGTATCGTGTGTGACCACACTGGTTCAAACCCCATCACCCCAAAGGAAAAACAAAAAGCTAGGCAAGGGGGGCCTACATAATCCTAACACCCAGGAAGCTGAAGCAGGATTTCAATGAGTGTTCAAGGCCAGCCTGGGCTACAGCATGAGACCATGCAATCCTCACTCCCACCAAAATGTGTGTAACAGGCACTGAAGGTATAAAGATATACAGAAACAATTGCTACCCTCCACCCATCCGAGCCGGAGACAGCCAGGAAACATGACACACTCATACACTTCATTTCTTTATTAGTTTTTCTGCACAGTTAACTTTCTATATTAATAAGGGTTTTTGTTTTGCATTTTGTCATCTCAAAATCTCTTATCAGCCACCAGAACACACAAAACTAGGCTCTTAACTTTGTACAGAGAGGAAAGTAATGAACTCCATTAAAAGTTCACCTTGACCAAAGAGGAGACAACCACCAATTGGGAAAACACACACAGGAAGACCTGATATACATATATATATTATATAATGTATAGGTATTTATAGATATCTTAACACAGCAAAAAGATGTCCAATACTGGAAGTGCTATCTACAGTAAGGGATTAATTCTATCAGCTTTAAACAGTCACATTCAGTATTCACGGAAGCACGTGAGTGAACAGAACTGGGGATAGAATACACTCCACTGGACTTGAGAGCAGTCTAGAAATGGCTTACAGTTACAGAAGAGGGTGGCATGTGCCACAGATACATGGATGTAGGTGTCCTTAGTTCAGAACACCCACACAACACCTCCCCCTATACACACAGCTCTTTTTTTTTTTCTTTTGTTTTGGTGCTTTCTCTCCCATTTGGGGTGACAGTAGGTGAAACCAGTGACCAGGCTGAAACAAGAGCTCTGGTTTCTGGGCTGCCAGTCTACCTGGTAAGGTGGTGGACAGGAAGACTGCATAGTTGTGGGCTCTGGGAAGCTAGGGTGCATCCAAGGACCCACCCTTCTCCCACCTGAGGACCAATCGAGATCTAGCCCCTCCAGCAGGCAGAGGTTGTGGTATTCTCTCTTGGACCATCTCTCTCTAACGAGCTCACTTCTCCAGTGATATCTGTGACACAATGGCCCAAGTTGACCAGGGCACTGCCACAAACACCCTTGGTGGAATCTGGAACAAGAGGGACTCAAGTACCTTCCGACTCCCAAAGGGATCATCATGAAGTTTGTAGGGTTACACAGTACACAGTGCGATCTTGACCTTTTCCCTCTGCCACCGGGGGCAGGAGACAAGGTGACCTTTGCCTCAGGGTGGGACCTGGCCCTGGGGTGGCAGAGAATGGGGGTTCTTGCCCTCAGGGGTCTCCATATTCTATATCCATAGCTCTGCCTGGCTAGCCTTACAGCACCTGTCCTGCCCAGAGAGCACCAGGAAAAGTGTCCGTCTGCTTAGAGCGCCCTCTTGTGACTTCCATCCTCACGACTGTCACCTGTACTATCAGAATAGGTGTGCTTGGTGCAAGGGTTATAGGAAAGGGACTCTCTGAGGTTCAGGGCTCCCCATTGGTCTGACTCCCACTCACATCAGAGCCTAAGCTCAGTACCCCCCCCATCTTCAAACCCCATGCTGTGGGCCATATTCTTTCTTCAATACTGTATCCTATATTCTGGCCCCACCCCAAGGCCATGATGAGAGTAACCACATCAACCAGTGACCATGTGAGTGAAATGGGAGTAGATAAGGCGAGCCCCTCACACCATCTAAGACTGTTCTGCTGTTCTGTCTAAGGTGGATCCCCTTATTTTTTAAATAAAAGAGAAGTAACCCCATTTTCTCCCCTTCGATCTCACAAAAATAAACTAAATGGAAGACGAGCCGGTGCAGAGATGGCAGTGGGACCTGGGGGCAGGTAAGCAGGCGTCTTGGGCGGGACAAGGGCTTCAGCAGGATACCTCCATGGTGTGGTTGACCTGACCCATGCCCTCACTGCTCTCTGAGTGGGTGCAGGGCTGTGGGCGGCTGCCATCCACAGAACTGGCGCTGGTAAGGGATGCTGTGCGTGAGCGCGCAAGGCGGGTCATGCTGGCTGAGGGCACTGTGAACAAAAACAAAGGGTCCTGAGAACAGGCAAGGTGGGTACCAGCAGGTAGGAAAAGGGCAGTGCAAGCAAAGCGGCCAGTGAGCCCAGTCTTGCCACAATGTGCACAGAGGCCTGTCCCAAGCCAAGACGCTGGCGCTGGCTCCATCAGGCCGAGGCATGCAGGGCCAGCAACAGTGAGCACGCCAAATGGGCTGTAGCCAGCAGGGTCCTAGGTCCCCAATAGCTACTCAGAGCTATGGCCAGGGAGGGTACATGTTGACTAGGCACTCTTAGCTGGGATAGGAAGACACTGTGTGTCCAACTAGACCTTCATCCAGAAAGTGACAGGGTAGGAGGCAGGGTTGCTTCTGAGAAGGACACAGACAGTCACAAACTACCCTGAATCTTGCTTCTACTATTATAGGTGAGGCCAATCCACCTAGAGGCTGGGCCAGGGACAGACATGACACCTGCACAGGCCAACCTAGCGCTGTGTCTGAGGTTCTGCTTCTAACTCCCAAAGCTTTGGAAGTCTCATAGCTCACAGCAGCCTAGACACAAGACAACTGCTCTGAGACTAGCCAGCATCAGGTTCCAACATGGAACAGAGCCCTCAGCAGACCAGGGTCTGCAGTAGAGCAGGGGATCCACTGAGGCTTCTTGCTGAGCAGGACACAAGAGGATCCCAAACCACGGCAAGACACAGTGTGGCCGCAGCACTGCAGGGGAGCGGGGGGTGGGGAGGGGGGAGAGGACAGACTAGGCAGGGTATCCATGCATCAGGAGAGGGGCCATGGGGCTACCTGCTCCTCCACTCAGCCTTCGGTCCTTCAAGTGTGCAACTAAGAGAGAAGACAGCCAGAGAGGGCAAGGGTAGGGGAGACACAGAACATGGTGAAGATTGAGCCAGGCCAAGGGCATCGAGATGGGCCAAGATGAGACAGACAAACGAGTGAGGGCCAGGGCTGAGCCTCAGAAAGCCCACTTTTGCAACCTATCCAAACAGCAGTTCATGGAAGCCACGCACCAGTCTCACCTCTCCCTCTCCTATAACCCAGGCTGTGGTGTACACATCCTAGACCCAGAGCCCTCACTGCTCTACCAGATCTCAATCTTGCACATGAAGGGAAGGAAGCCTGAACCATCTTCCAAAGCCCCTCCCCGACTCCTGGGATGCCTGGTAGATCCCTCATGAAGCCCAAGGACACACACTAGTGCTTACAACTGTTGTTCTTTCTTGTCCTCATAGCTGTCTGCCAAGCTCCAAGAGTGCATGGGGCCCAGCTTAGGGTTCTGGCTAGTCCTGTCTGCCTTTGCAGTTCTTTGCCATTTTCCCATGAGGTTGGCAGGGTGGAGGGTTATCCTATTTCTGTCCCAAGGAGGTCAAGCTCCAGAGGCTGAAGTCTTTGGTGGAGGGCACCAAATTGAGGGAGAGCAGTTCACCTCCCAGCAGGTGTATGCTGTTAAGAGGGGACCAGAGGTCCAGGAGGTATACAGGAGCCACCTGAATCATAAAGCTGTGTGTATGTATGTTTGTGTGTGTATGTATGTGTGTATGTTTGTGTGTATATGTTTATATGCATGTGTGTGCATGTGTGTGATGTATGTATGCTTGTGTGTATGTATGTGTATAATTGTATGTGTGCATGTGTGTGATTATATTGTGCATATGTGTATGTATGTGTGTGAATCATGTGTATGTGTGTATGTTTGTGGTTGTATGTATATGTGTAATTGTGTATGTATGTTTGTGTATGTATTATATGTATGTGTATGTGCATGTATCTGTGTATGTATGTTTGTGTATGTATCTGTGTATGCATGTTTGTGTGTGTGTGTATCTGTGTATGTGTGTGTGTGATTGCATAGTGTGTGTGTGATTGCATAGTGTGTGTGTGTGGTGTGTGTGTGTGCTCTGTATGCTGAGTCTCATCACTGTTACATGAGGAGATGTTTCAGGAAGGATGGGAACCAGAAAGCTGCTTTAGAGCCCTTGTTCCCAGCAGATTCTCAGGCTTACTTTCCACAGGTTTGGACAGGCTAACACCAAGATGGTCCCAATTCCCTTCTCTGGTCCCAGACTCCATGAGTCTAGGCACTAAGCCTCTACGATGACAAAGAGCCTTTTGAGGTACCCTAATCCCAATAGGGTGTGGGTGACTCATCTGAAACAGGCTTCCCTAATAGCACCAGGCCATGCTCCTGGTCTCTCAAGGCTGGAAGACGAGTCTTCTCCCAAAGTAGAGGCTGGCTGCGCCCAGGACTTACACCCTAAAATGTATGCAGAGTCTAGGGAGAGTAGGCCAGCTGTCAGGGGTCCAGGTGACAGAGTACACTCACCCACAGACTCCCCAACACACGGGCAATGTGCCCCGTTCCCTTGCCCAGGGTGGGTGGAGGTGTACTTACTGTAGCCCATGCCTTGCAGGAAGTATTTGAAGGCCTCAGTCAGTTTTCCTGGCTGCAAGAAGATGGACAGGAATGTGCTCTGATTGGCTGCCTAGGTCTAGTGGGGAGGATGCCATCCCCCCATCCCCAACAGGCTGGGTGATACAAAGGCAGAAGGTCCAGGGGTCTTACCTGTGTCACCTGAGGAAGGCCACCAGAATCTGCCATCTGAAAGGAACAGGGCAGGGAGAACTGAGTCCCTCTCAACACCTGGACAGACCGTGCTGTTCAAACACCACCCTGTTCCCATGCTGTCCACCAGACCCCTTCCTGCAGCTGAGCCACCGGGCTGATGGGGTGGGGTGGGGCATCTCACCTTCAGGAAGGTTGTGGTGGTTGGGTCCAGTTTGGAGTTACACTCAACCTGGGGACAAGGAGACAGCTGCAGCAAGACCCCTGCTCCACTGCTTAGGCAGGTTCTGTGCCCAAAGCAGGAAGAGGGAGGGAGGGAGGGAGGGAG